AAGATCACTACGGCAGGTGTGCCTTTCAGTACCAGCACCCAGTGTACAAAATAGACTTCCTTATTTCATTCAAAATGCACCAATTTTCTATCTTTCAAGGCTGCATTAAAAACATTATATCTGGCGGGATTTCAAGGAAATATTGTCAGTGATGGTTTTTAATGGATCTAAGTGCGGAGTTTAATAATCACACTGGTGATTTAATGAGCTTTTTAAAGTATTTTGATGACATTTGTGTTATCATTAATGACTGTAAAGCAAGACACTTCTTTCATGTAATGCGTGATATTGAAATAATTTTTTCTTAATATACCACTAGTATGCGATGCAATTTCTATGCACAGCAGCAATATTTGAGTCCCCATTTTTAAAATCTCAACAGACATAGGAGAACTCTGTGTGAAGTGGGTCTGTTATAAAAACTCATTTGAACGACTTTGCAAGAGCAGTATAAGCTCTGCAGTGTGGAGAACCAACTGATGATCTGACTCTTCAGATGGACTGCTGCTTCACTGGATGACAAGTTTCATTATTCAATACACATCAAGACTGTTACTGCTATCGAAGCAACACCACACAAGCTCAGCAGTGTTCTCCACATCATCAAGAAAAGTGCTTGTCCACAGGTTAAACAGCCACACAATGGAGGATGCAACTGAATTGTATGAGTTGTCAACATCTCCAAACCTTGTTGATGAGGACAGCAGGTGCATTGGACAATGGGATGATTCAAGTTGCATTTTTCAAGTGTGTGTCCTCGGCATCATCAGCCTCTTCTGCCTCATCTGCAACTCATTTGCCCTGCTGGTGTTATATCACATTCATGACATGCACGATGTCACTAAAATGCTGGTAGTGGCTCTGACGATAGCCGACCTTGCAGGAGGCTTCTTTGGTCTTCTCACAGCAAGTCTAACATTATACACTGATGTAGAAGTCATAGAAGATGTGGCCATATTTTTCCAGCTGCTCAGCTTGTTTATTCTGACGATGATTAATGTGGTACGTTACATAGCGGTTTCACAGCCTCTGAGACTTGAAACCCTGGTCACCACCAGACGAGCTTACATTGGCCAGGCATGTGCCACTTTCGTGTGGCTCAGTACGGTAGTGAGCTACAAGCTGATATCATGCAAGAAAAAGGCCAGATAATAGAAACAGTTTTCGACATCGGCACAATTGTCTATGGCCTACTGCTTTTATTATCCTGTATATAAGACTTCTTCGGATTGCAAGGCATCAGGCAAGCCGCAAAGCAGCAGCTGAGGTCAACGCTGAAGATGCCCAGGTCCAGCTTCACCGCTCAAATGTCACATCCCTCAAAACGTTCCTGATGATCACAGCCACTCTGTGTATCACTTGGCTACCATCAATCGCACACGCCAACGATATTAATCCCAAGATCTTAACTTTGTTTACGGGTTTGCGCTACAGCAATTCCAGTCTCAATACAGTCATCTACACCTGGAGGAATGAAACTTTCAAGAAAGTCGCCAAAAAACTCATATGTTGCAACGGCAGTGAGTGAAGCACCCTATACAAACGTTTTAAAACAACATCAATGTATAATGTCTTTTGACAACATATCTGTAAGTCAGTCACTTTATATGTATTGTGGCACTTGTAATTTGTCAAAGCAGACATCCCATCAGGTTTGTCATGGAGAAAGGAAGTAGCTATGGTAGATTCAGCAACTTTAAATGAGTAAAGATACTCACTACAAAATGTCATCCACCCACTAACCCACCCATCCCTCAAAAAAAACAAATGAAAAAACCTTGACTCAGTCTGCAGAAATGTTTTCAATTGAAGAAAAAAGCAAACCTAACAAGTTGATGTGGGTAAGCAATGACGTACTTTGCTACGGTATGAGACTGGCTTCTCCTTGCCTTACGGACTATGGCTCACCAAGTCCTGCTCAGCAAAAACAGGTAACCAGCCAAAATGCCATGTGATATGTACTGCTGCGACACTCTTGGCCGGTTTCTGCTTAGCGTGCAAATTCACTGAGCAATGCTTCCTGCTTGGAAACAAATATGAATGGGCCCTAGCTCTATTAATGTACATGTATAAGTAAACAAGGTAAGTGAGAACACAGTACATGAATGTATGGCTGACATTTACATGTACCATACTACTATGTCATATCTACTGTATGATTTACTTTGAAATTTGAAAAAAAAAAAAGCCAATTATGTCTCACACAAGAAATGCATGAAAAAAAATGTGTTAACTTGTATTAATTTTAAGTTGAAATAAAAAGTATATTGACCAATCACACATGTACAAGAAATGGTAGATGAATCTTGAACACATATGTAGGCATGTAATCCATAACCAGAGACACAGGAAATCTTGCACATGCCGCTAAGTTAACCAAAACACAAATTGTTTCATTTCCTGTACTCCACCTTCAATTAGTATGCACAAAGTTGATGACGGAATTCAATAATCTTAATGAGTGATACATACGTACAGAATAGGCACATTATTTATCTGACTTCACATCTTTGTTAGAGGCAACTTTACACCTTACACTAGCGGTAGTGTAAAGAATCAATCATTCACAGCCTAGAAAAGTCCCTTGTTCTGCAAAAATATGTCCTGTTGAGCTGTAAATCACCAAATATTGTGGACAATATCTACACAAGCACAACGTGATGCTGCTTGCCATGTTAGCTACTATGAGCATTTTTGAAACGAGTGGATTCGGCGTAGACTTCGGTTTCGCTGGTTCCACTCGTTTCAAAAACGCTCTATGCTATCTACATGTACCTGAAGTGTAGCTCCAACACTTCAGACATATGTCTGAAGTACAAAGTACTGAAAGGAGTGAAATGTTACCCTGACTTCCCCTGTTAAAGTCCAATGGTATAGTGCCTTGATGCTCTGTCTCGGCCATACAGCCTTTAGCCCACACTGAAGCTGTGGGCTTGGACTGAAGGCTTGTAGATATAAGCTTCAGGCACAGCTTTGGCCTTGATGAGGATCAGGACCTTGGGATTTTCTTATTGCACTAGTTAATTTTGCACTATTGAGAAAATAGTACATTAATAAAGTTTAATTGCACTAACTCATGCCACGCTACTTCAGGGTCAGCCTAACCATCTGGCTAAAATACCAGCTGTAATGTGCAGAGATATTGAATACAGAAATGAAATGTAATTTTTAACCAGGAAATGTACTGCAAATGAATGAGGTATGCAAGTGTGTTGGTTCATATGCACTAACTCTCGTGCTAATGCCTTTTACACACTTTACATTTTTACACACATAACGGATTCACGTCAGTACTCTAGAGTGTAAAGCTTGCAAAAAGGAGCTTTTAAATCATAGTGTTGGGTGAATCCTTGAAGAAGCCGGTAATTGATTCCGAACTTTAAATCAGATTCCAGAATCCATTTTTTGAGGAATCTAATCCAGGAGATTTATTCCTTTTACAAGTTTCCCCAAAACAAATGTCATTTACTTGCAAAAGTTTTACAAACATAGGCAGAATGCTTCATCAACAGATTACAAGAAGTACATGTCCTATCAAAACTACAGATCTGAAACTTTGAAGTCCTGCACAATAAAGTTTATGGTGGCACATATGTGCATCTATTTTTCTTAATTGTTTCATGTAGGGTTTTAAAACTCACAGTCATACTTGCCAATGACATAAAATGTGAAGGGGGCTACATACATGTCAATGGATGATTATTTTCCTCTAATTTGGAACTACAATTATATAAATACATTGTATTTCCCATTTCAAAAGCATTAAAGTTAGATAATCAATTAGTCACATTCTATTATGTGGCTTAACTTCTTGATGAATTTCAATGTGCGATTAATGGACCACACTGCACATATCTAACCTGCAACAATAGACACCATATTCCATCTCTTTGGTTGCAGTGAAAAATTGGAATGATAGCCTCATGTCAGTAGAAAAAGGAATTTAATGGTTGTTGCTGGGTTCCTTTTACCCAAATTGTGGGTTCAGCAAAGATCTCCCCAGTACATGTAGCACAAGGCCTCAGAAAGCTACTTGATGCAAGGGATCTCATTGGTTTGACGGTGAGTTGGTTCACATTAACAGAACCTACTTTCATTATAAGAAAGGAGTCAGCCACATCACCTGTATTGGCACATCACTAGATTACATGCAGAAATGAAAACGGATAATTGAAATTTGTTGTCCAACAACACAGTCCCATGGATCAGCAGATGCTTTGCATGCACACTGGTTTGCGCTCATCATGACACGGAACATGCACAACCAATTTTCATCTAAATGTGTACAAGCCTATAGGTGCACTCTGGCCACAGCATTCAAGTGTTTGCCCAAAATCTCTCTCTGTGCCACCAATTAGAGCATACTCATGCACAGAGTCCATACACTTAAAACTAGCCTAAGGTGTATCCAAATCAAACCAGCTATGGCCAGGAGCAAGGCATCTGTCTGTGAGAAGTGGCCATAGCCACAAGTCAGAAACTTCCAAGGGCACACATATTATTGTGAAAAAAGCTTAATCAAATCCTCTCAAAGTGTTGCTGACAGCTTATAAATGGAAAATGGAAAGTTTAGTGTTGTTAACAAATGGAAAGTAGCAAAAATAAACAGCTTGGAATATCTGTATTCCATTGTGTTTCTCTCTTTATTTACAAGTGTATGCCTCCCTGGAAAGCACATAGGCTAATAAGCGCAATATCCAAGCAAAAATGCTAGGTCAAATCTAATAAGATCATAGCCTTATATGACCGCCCTCACTACACCATAAAAAGTGATCTATCAGGATTTGGGTACACGTGTACGTAGAATAGTGATATGACATGAATTGTAGGTAGTGTGGTGGATAAGCATGGTGTCCGTAATACATGTACCTTGGTTGGGTTAAGACCAATACAGGACAAGGAATCCATTGATGGAATTGCCTGCCAACCCACCCCACATCCTCCCCTCTCCCTGTCACTACACAGTCCCAACCCTCGGCCTATCAATGAAGCAAGCTTACCACCTAGTGCGAGCCTGTCTTCCTCGCGCTGCTTCTTCAGCTTCCGTATCTCGTAGTCTCTCTCGCTGAGCAGTTTGTACAACCTCCCCGATTCATCCTTGAGCTCCTGATTCAGGAGGGGAAACAGGGTCAAACATGTTATATTAAATACAAATTCATACATGGAGGAACTTTCTCCACTGACCTCTCCTCCAACCATTGGTATGGGAGAAGCTTCGCCTTGTATCACCTTGAGGAATAGCTGAAAATGATGGCTTGATTGAAATCTCAGACAACTTTCTCTGACTCTTACACGTGTACACACCGTTCCAGATGCGTGCAATTCCATGCACAAAACCTTAACGTTGAGGCGGAGCGCCAATGTGCATTGCGATCGAACGTTGAGTGAGACGCGCTCCTCACTCTGTGCGAGGTTGCTAGAACCTGTCATGATCTGAACCAGGTCTGAAACTGATCTGAGCCCCGAATACGAAGTTGGCTCGTCTTTTATAGCGTCTGGAGCGCGTACGTGGTGCAAGGAACATAACAAGTCATAACAAAATATCGCTCGCAATGCACTGATTGCACTGACATTTTCATAAATACACTGTTTGTGTCCTAACTCGTGACCAGTGCCCAATTTCACAGAGCTGCTTAACAATTCGCAGAAAAATCATGCTTATTATAGCAGAAAAATGTGCTAATCTTGGCTGCATAATATGGTAGCTCATGCATAGAGATTTCCATTGTTTTGTCAGTAAATTAAGCAAATTCTTCCTCTGAGGTAAACATGCCTTTTGCTGTGCTTACTGTTGGCAGTTTCCATAAAAAACACAAAACCTCCGTTGGCGTAAAATTGTGCGCTTAGCAGCGCCATGAAATTAGGCACTGTCCACTGGCTAATGACAGGTGATTGATTAATGAATGCATTTTGATTGACAAGTTCATAGTTGCAAAACTTGAAGCAACCACTACCCCAACCTTTCGGAGAAGGGTCCGTCATGCCTGTCATAGATGAGCCACAGGAATGAAATGGGCCTGCACAAAGTCATACAATCCTAACTCGGGCTGAATCTGCATGTCGAGTCGTCGGTTCTGCACATAACACTCGAGGGCGCAGTCCACATCTACAGCTCTGTTGGGAATTAAGGACATAAATATACAAATGCCACCTCAATGAACCAACGTGCACTCACCCTTATCTGATCATTGAGCCGTCGAGTCAGCTCTTCATCATACACAGTGTCATTGGAGACTGGCTCACTCAACTGAAAAGAGAAAAATCATACGACTCATTGCACTACCAATTAAAAGAAATGGTTGATTACAGTCTTTTTCAATAAAGAAATCCTGCTTATCCACACTCAGGCTCAAAATGCACACCATCTTCTTTGTGCATTTGTGTAAGTAAGTAAACCAGTAAGCATGTACCAAATTTAATTTCCTGATAACTTCATCTGCCGTAAAACTTTTGTACCTCTTTGAACTCAGTATGTAATCATGAAAACAATTTTGAGGGGTTTTTGCCAAACTTTACTCCCGGCAAAAGGTATCAAACTGACAAAATGAAAAGGCAAATCCTACCTATCAGCAAAAACATGCTCTTCAAAACTTGTCCATCCATCAAAAATGCGCAAAATGAAAATAGTTCTACCATCTAGATGGTTGTTTTTTGAGCAATGTTTTAATGAAACAGGTAAGCATGTACATGTGTATACTTTATAAAAATAAAAATAGTCACCTGGTCCCTCTACTTTTTCGACACTCCTTATTCACTTTCAGACTACAGAATTCTTCTTTCTATACATGTACCTTGTACCTCAAGAACAGACGTCCACTATTTAACATGATTAGATGCAACCTTGTGTGGTAGAGCGCTCTCTCTTCAGCCTTCACTTTACACACCTGGTAAAAATAGCTATCAACAATACTGTGTAGTGCACTCTGTGACTTTCTTGTATTGAGTAGCGCATTTGCATATCTACAGAGCCATGCATATGCCTGCCAGCATCTGACAATAGCGATCTGAACAGTGTATTGTTTCTGCCCTGCATTTTTTTCACTGGTATGAAAAGCTTTTGTGATCATATGCAGCAAGGTTTGAGACGGAGAGAACCCCCCCCTGCTTTGTGTTGGTCATTGTCTCGCAGGAATCTGGGGAATTCCTTTCAGACATCTTGGGGGGATGTGTTAAGTAACAATAGTCTGGAATGTGTATAGGGATTGGACTTGTTGGGGGGGGTACCCCTCGGTCTCATTTCTTGCTGGGTATATTTGTGATCCACCCCACCCTGTGGAGTGGGCAGAAACACAGTAATCAGATGACTCTGCTTCAGAGCCTCATTGCTTCATCACTCTCTGCTACTGTGCTGCTGCTGTACATTGTTACATTATATGAAACATAGCTACATGTATATCTATTTGCCTTGGTGCATGCAGCATTAGTGATTGGCACGGGTCGAGGGACGCTGCATGCAATCCTTGACTGTCGTTTTTTTAAAATTTGTATAAATATAAATTCTCTCACCCTTTGAGGCATTGTACAAATTGTAATAAAATATTGAATGTAGTATTCGTGCCACCACATTCCCTGTTGTCTTTATTTAGTTATTACTTCTTAACTGAGTCCATTTACCACTCGGTTACATATACTTGGAGAAGACAACACCTACAAGGGAAAGTTGTACTGAAGATAGGCCTGTGCCGGGTACCCGGGTACCCGCCCGTCGATTTCAAAACCTGGTTCCATTTTTCCGGGCCGGGTACCCGTAAAAAAGTAAATAAATTAGGACCNAGGCCCGGATCAGACTGGTTTCCCCTGATGCATGTCGGTAGAAGCTATCATGCTGGTACAATGGTGTCAGAATGTTCACTGCTCGATATGCAACCCAAGGGCAGAACCAAAGGGGATGGGGAGAAGAGGTATGATATCCCTCCCTCCAAGAAGGGGCAACCAAAAATTGGGGGGGGGTAACAGAAAGTAACTTTTTAGTTTACCTTATTTCCCTTCCTTCTAAAAGCCCTGAAGTATATTCTCACCCCTCAGAAAAGCTCTAAAATGTTACATTAACAAATTTTAACATTTTCCTCCTCCTAGATCAAGTTTCTCCCCCCCCTCCCTATATGATTCTGGATTCATTCTTGATGTGACCAACTCATAGCAATAACAGAAGCTGTCAATTTCTCTACCACCAGTGTCATCGGGATTTTTTTCGGAGTGAGGAAGGCCAGAACTTTTAATAGAGTTGTGACATGAGTGTCTCAATTGTTGGAACCAAAATGGTGGATTATGCATCAGAGCAAATAAACAATTAGTACACAATAGCTACTTTGTACTACTGATATAATAAACAACCATTTTGGTTCCAGAGTCCTGAAGTTGGTGCTACTCTCTGTTGAAACTTTGTGAAAAATTTCAGTATCATGAAATTCCGTCCACAATTTAAGAACGGAGACGTCCAGAAATTGGGCAAGAATTCAGCTGAGTGTTCCCTAACATTTGGCACTTGGAAAAATCTCAGAAAATCTAAAATAAACATTTAAGAAATTCTTTTAAGTTGACAAATTCTATTAATTAAAATTACCTCTGCTTACACACCTAATCATAAGTATGTTAGACAATTATTTTCATATTTTTGGACACATTTTGAGAAAGTTCATTTTGAACTTCAGAAAAATCAGGAAATTGAGCCAAACTAACCTTTCATCAGAACTTGTTGTAGCAGGTGAGTAACACTAAGAATTTGAATCAGAATATTGAGATTTTGCTGAAATTTTCACATGTAATGAAATTTGAGGTAAAAAATAGCTCTGACAAGGCACCAGAGGAAAAAAATTTAAGTGCACCACGTTAGCAGCCATGCCACATTAGAGTACATCATCATATACAGCTCTGGGCAAGGCCAAGCACTCAAAGGCAGCAAACTGACAAATCCAGAGGAAGGCAATCAATTTCAAGATGTTTTCACACAAATTGGAGATATTTGTCCCCTTACTTCCTTTTTTTTCATTCCCTTCCTTTTTTCCATTTCATCCCATTCTTGTTTGATTTTTTCAAGACTGTGCACATGAACTGCTGACAATTTGGCAGGGTTCATTTTTAAAGCAAGTTACATGCAGGCCAATGATAAGCAAAGTAACTCTGACTCAACTGGTACACACTAGATAATCTAAATCCCAGTTGAATGAAAAACAACCCCAGGAAAGAATGTTGCATCCTGACTTCAGCAGTGAACAAAGTCTGTTATGGGGAGCAAACAAAATTTTCTAGGACTAGGCTAGATCTTCTGAGCGGAGCGTTGGTACACCTCTTTTTTAAATTTTGTACTGAATCGGTACTCAATGATACAAAATTCCGATCCAGTACAAAAATTGGAAAAAGACGAGTATGTGTACTGACGCTCCACTCAGTAAAGCTAGCCTAGGCCATTTCCTCACCACACTAGCAAAATTGAAATCTTTTCTGTCCAAAATTCATGTCTGCAATTCTCATGGTCAGGATAACGTCACCAAGTCTTGATTCTTCCATGGAGGAATAAGAACACATTCTGAGTAGCCAATTGGTGGCTATTCCATATTCCTTACTCAAAACTAAGTGTTGCGGTCTATGGAAAAAAAACTGAATTATTGAGTAAACTCTAAAAATTTAACATCAAATGCAACTGAAACTTGACTACTTATGCACTTTGAATATCTCCCATTATACACTGAAAGGTTTCAGCTATTTTTATCACATTGCTTCAAAAAAGGAGGAAAACATGCAAATCCTTGTATAAAATGAATGGAAAGTTGCCCCTTTGCCCAAACATGAGTGCAATAAATGGAACCTCAGACCAGGAGATGATAAATGAGGAAAAATGTGGAGGCACAACACAACAATCTCACTTCTTCATCTATCATGATCCTTCCAGAAATCCTTTAAGATCCTCTAACTTAAGGTTATACAAACCTTACAGATGCTCATCCAAATGAAAGCTGAGCTGTCATTGGTCATTGGAATGGAAGCAAATTGGACCAATCACAGTGCAGCTTTCATCTGTGAGTGACAAGAAAACAAATCGAAAAGACAGGAGCAGTGTTGCCATTGGTCAAGCTACACACAGCTGATTCAGAGTAGGTCTACATGCTGCTGATTTCCTGTAGTGTGGATGGGCAAAATGCTCAAGAATTTTACCATTTTAATGAAGATATAAGGTGATAAAACCTCTCTTTCTGACATGTAACTTCACCAAGAACACATGCAATGTATGAAATTTGGTTGCACATAAAGCTGTGATGGAAGAGTAAGTTAGCACAATCGAAACAGCCGAAATCTGTTTGACCTATGCATGCTACCGGATAGTAGGGAGTTTGTACCTGTATGGAAGTTCTGGAAGTCTAGGTCTAGCTAGCTAGCCATGGCCGGCCGGGACCCCGATTTGTTTTACAGATTTAAAATCAGACTTACTTCCTGACCACAACAAACAACTGAAATTTTTAGGTGATTACCCTACCGAATTCCCTTCGCAACAACGAAAACTATCCAATGTTGTCAAGGTGGGTTCCCAGACGAAGGAAAAGCGCCTGCCAGTTTAAACGTTGGCAGACGGGTACCCGAGTAACACGTCGGTTATTCCAACTAAACTATAGAGGGCGCTCTGTAAAGCTGTCTTGCTTGCATGCCGTGTGTGCCGACAGTAGATAAGCTGCGTGGACAACTTCAAAAATCTGGAAAAATATAAGTTTCTCAGGTGTGGTGTTCAAGACACATATCAAGTTAAAGCTCACTTCCTCATCTTTCGTTCTCCTTTCAATTTCCAATGGCTTAACGAATAACTTTTGAAGTCATTTCTCTCCAGAGAAAATCACCCCTCAAACAAGTCACAGCCCCATTTGCTGTCTGATACTTTCAGAAATACAAGCTGTCAGCCCTGCTGGTACATTCAATCCCTCACAAACCACTCAGACCATGTGCCATATGAATGCTCTCATAGCAGAGAATTTATCCAGCCTACAAATCATCATTCGGTGTGCACGCGGGCAATTTTGGACCTAATAGTAACCTGCAACCTTATACGATCCAAGTGAATGGAGTTTTGCCCTATATAACATACCAAATACAAAGTAAATCGGGAGGACATCATGGACCGCAGTAATTCACAAAACCTTTGTAAAGTGACAAAATCCAAATATTTGTCATTATTAGACAGTTGTTTTCATTAGACAGATGTACTATACAGCAACACAATTAAAGGAACCAGGAAATGAGTTTTTCTTAGAATCACTTTTTGTGTATCTCTGTACTGTTCTTCCATGTATGAAGACTGTTTGACATCTTTTTTGAGTTACGTGAACGGTGCACTTTTCCAAGCATTTCTGGACAAGTGAGGGCGCTTTTGCTTAAATCCAGGAAGACATGGTTCAGATTGCAAGTTTTCATATTCAAATTGCGAATCCCAAATTTGCTATCTGGGAACATTTCTGTGAAAAGGATTTTTGCTGGATTATTGCCATATACTTACACAGCAATAAGTTTCCAAAGAAAATTCAATCTACCATAGCAGTGGTTAAAAAAATCTAGAAATTTTTTTGTGCACAAATCAGTGCAACATTGAGATTCAGTGCCTTGGATGGCATCTTATCATCGTGACGCCACGCCCCCCTCCGACAAAGGCGAGGGCGCTCTCCTCCTCGAGGCGCGGCACGTCGGACGGCACGCCGGAGAGTCCCTGGCTGAGTTCGGGCGGCTTGTTCTCGTATGTTCATGAACAGCTCGATTTCTTATTCGTGGGTCGGCCGCTCGAACGCCGGGAACAAACAACCGGTTACCGATGGTGGTTAGTGACAAGCAACATGCAACATGGCGGCGTCCATGTAGGCTACGTTATTCGAGAGTTAATGTTTGGATGGACTGAATTTTTTTTCTATATAAACAGGAACATTCATTTCTGTGTTACGGAAAATAATTAATGTTAATTTTGCAAAACTTCCCATTGTCTATGGCTTTGGAAGCCATCTCTCTACTTTTTGCAGCTGTTCAAAAATAAAAATCTCACGAGTTTTTCCGTGTTTTCCTGTAAAACTCTGACGAGGAGGTGGTGTGTGATC